CATGTTTCATATCTGGAAGAAAAGAAAAAGATGAGAGTAGATATTATAAAATATGCGCATAAGGAGAACGTTGTGATAAAGGTTTTTCATTTTTATCTTGTGAAGGAATTGCACAGGTGCATACTTTCCTACAGCTTTTCATTTTATTTTCACATTTCAGAGGAATAAGTTGCATTTACTTTGAGTCTTGGATTTATTCAAAACACATAGGCTACTTTTCTTTCATCCGTGCCTGCACTTGTGTTTTTCTAACCTTTGCTTTCTCTGGAGCTCCTGCTGAAGCTGTACCAAGGCCTTGTTTCACACAAACATAGTTAAGGCCTCTAAGGAGCATGAACCCCGGAGCAGTGACTGACAAGCCCATAATAATCAATTCTCAGGCATGCTGTTCCAAGGCAATACTTGATCTGAGCTTCCCGAGCTTAGCGCCGAATGCTTCACGGCGCTTTACGGACACCACAAAATCAAATTAAAAATGCATTTGGAAATTGATCACCTGATGCACCCGGATTGATTGCTGCTCCAAAAGCAACCAGGTCGTGTTTTTGTTTGGCCAGGTTCCATTCACCTTCCCATACCATATAAATGTATTGATCTGCACACCCACTCTTGGATCTATAAGAACCATTAAATATCCTTTCAGTGTTTCTCCATCTACTTATGTGACTCATACCACATTGCAACAAGCTAAAAATGGTCAGAACACAGCTTTGCAGACCAGTAACCTTTAACCACTTTCCACCACTTCACTTCCAATGAGCGCTGGGCGATGATACTAAGTTAGTCGTCCATTTAAAAGCAGTGCTCATCAAACTAATCTTCTAAATGTCTAAAACAAACGAAATGGAAAGCATTCATATCTCAACAAACAACCTGAATAGTTGGAGAAGGGAATATTCCATTTTAGATATGGAGGAACATGATTAATTCAAAAACTCAAAAGGTCAAATTGCACTTTTCAATCAGTGTTATTCACACACATTCCCTCTCATTTAACATAACTGCAACCAAGGAGAAAAAAAGCCCACTATCTACTGCTGTTTGAGGCGCTTGTGTGGTACAATGAATGCAAAAGAACAAATTGAATGCCGGTGAATAAGATGCATTTGTATGCAAAATTACCAAGACAGCCAAGAGACAGAGCTGCAGGCGGACGAACGTGCATGTAATCAGGTAGCAAATCTGCTTGTCTCCCGTAAGCTCCGTATGCGTCGCCGTGTTTCTCTGGGCCGAGGGGCAGGTGAGTGGCAGCAGCTATTGTCTCGGAGCACTGGTCCACATGAATGACCCAGCCTGTGTCCACATTAGCACGGATCAACTCCTGTGGGTATCTTCTCCCCAGAAAACAGCAGCTACAGCACATTCAGCCAAATAACCGAACTTCCATATCCGGCAAAGCCTGAGCTCTTTTTCACCCTTCCTGACTTTTGACCGACTTAATTAATCTTTCCACTGCTTTATTCTAGTGAAAGACATCTCTGCTTTCCACCTTTCCAACATCTTCACCTTCCATTCCTTTCTATTACAATCTCTCAGTTAGAGCCAGCTCTTCCTTACAGTACTATTCTTCACACTTTGTAGCCTTTGCTTTTTCTCCATCTACCTTCTGAAATGTCCTTATCCATTACCTGACATTTCTTTTTCCCATCCTTCTCTCTCTCATTTCTTCATTTCTCAGTAATGATTGCCTTTACTGCAACTTAATATCTACAAAGTGTTTCCTACAGGGCACCAGGTTTTCCTCTGTCCCATAGGGGACCGCCTCCAACTCTAGCTGGGTATACACACCCACAAAAACCGACCTGGTGGTTAATGAGCCTGTTGAGAAAGACGGCACCTTGACTCAACATTGATCACCGGGCCGCTGTTCCTCGAACTCTCTGGGAAGCTATTTGTCAAGGTGATAATTTATTTTGTAGCACCAGATATACTGTGTGGGGAATTGGGTTGTTTTGTTTTGTGTGTGTGTGTTCCAGGGGCTTGACAGACACCATTTCAGGGCCAAATCAGTCCATAATGTGTAGCATAAAACACGCTGAGCTGTAAATCACTAAGTATCGGCCACAAACAGCGAAAGAAAGCTTTCATCTGGCTGAGCAGGCAAGGGAATGGCGATTTTAGCAAAGAGACGTGTGGCACATTTTCAAACGCAATTCTCTGGTATTCCTTCACACACCCATGCAAAGACTTTTTTGCTCTGGTGTTCTGCTAAGTTAAAAGCATTAGCAGACGAACTATGTGACTTAGTGAGGGAGTGGGAGATTGAATGAAAGCTGCGCTGCTGTTTTCATCACACCCACATCACACCGGGCAATTATGGAGATGCGTCCTGTGAAACCAGCGAGGCCAGACACCTGATGGGAGGAGGTGGCAGGAGTATGGGACGCTGCTTGCGGGTAGGCGAGGCTACCGCAGTGCACCGCTGCTCCGGCATGCTCTCAAGATGTTCCACATCTCCCCCCTCTAATTGGCAGATGGCCTCAGATGCGAGATGATTTAATGGCCTGCGTGTGTGTTTTTTCTTGCCTCAGTCAGCCATTAGCAGGGACATCTGTAACGAGTTGGCCAGGCACACTGCTGAGAGTGGAAGCTGAGGCCAACACTTTCTAATGGGGGGTAGTGCGGTCGTGACGGGCTTGGGCGGTAATCAAAGCACTCCGAGGTATTTCTTGGGGTTATGATAATCGGGATATCTCGTTTCAAATTGTGCGAGGCATGACAAAAAGCAATAATAAATCATCTGATGTTGTTTACCTCAGAAAAGCTGAAAAGAATCAAACAGAGCAGTATTACTGAGGAATCCACTGTGTGACAATCCACTTTTGACTTTCAGTATACCAGAGCAAGACATTTCTAGCTGAGCGTTATCATAAAAAGCCATTTTCATGGCTTTGGCACAAACAGCTTGGCTTCCAAGTGATCCCATTTCTTGCAGCTGTGCCGTAACCATCTGTGCTGAATGCTGCGCTCAAGGGTGAAACATTAAGGCCTGAACCAGAGTTTTGGCCCTAAAGGCCTCTGGTTTCTTTCTCTCTCCTGCTGCCTTCATTTCTTACTGCTCCCTCCTGAGCTTGCCTCTATAACGAAAGCTGGATGAGAGACAGAGCTGCGTTACTGAACAAGCAAGGCCTTCAGCTGGTTTCTGTGCATGTAGGAGAAATGGCTCCAAGCCTTGGGCCTTTTAAGGCTTGATGGCCATCAGTATTCTTGCCTTAGCCTCTGAGGATTTGTCTGCTACCTGCAAACTGGGTCAGTTTTTGCATTATTTTAGAGATTTGTATCTCACTGTGGAAAAAGAAGGTTTTGCACACGCATGCATGTAGACCCACACCTGCACTTTGTCTTTCTCTCTCTGCTTCCTTCCCTCTATGCCTCTCTCTCACACACAAACACACACACTGCATTTTGAATTCATCAATATGTGCACATATTTGTCATTTTAACACATAAATGTCAATTTAAAGCCACCGAATGTGCTAACGCTGTAATGAATAACTACACCGAGCAAACATACCCACGCTGTGAAAATCATTTTAGATGGAGCACACGCCAGACAACTAATTAAAATTGATAGATAGACTACTGTTGATTATGGCACTCAAAAACCCGTGCACTTTTTCAGCACTAAAACGCAACTAAGTCTCCGTTAATACACCCCCTCTCTATTCATGTCACACCGACGGGATTAACTGTAGTCATAAATCTGAAACAGTTGTGAATGTGACTCTGCCATTCTCACATTAATGTTAATGAGGAAGTGACACTGCTGCGGCATCACCTTTACTGTTTCCATCAGGTTTCAGAACTGTTATTATAATGACTATTTTTAAATTCACCCCACTTTTCTAATTCCAATCGTTTACTGTATGTGTGCCCCCAGCAGAGAGCCCGGAAGGCGAGTGAGGGACCAGCAGCAGCAGCAGATGTGGGGGCGGAAATGAGATGCAGAAAGAGGGGAAAAGAAAGGTGGGGGGTGGAATTGAGGGGGACAGACGGGCTGGTGATACACAGTAGAAAAATAAGAGAAGGAAGAAAAAAGCAAAGTATGTGATAGAGAGAGGCGATAGGAGAGACCCGCGTCTGAGGTGAATACAAATGGACAGAGGAGGAACACAGATAGAGGAGGCGAACGAGGAGTGGGGGGTGGTGGGGGAGGCAAAGAGGGAGGCTGTGTGAGGAGAAGAGATAAAAGAATGTGAGAAAGATAAATTTACTGTTGGCTAATGAGAAGACAAAGGCAGTAGAATCCACATCGATCTCTGCCCCACAGCAAGCTGGCTTTATAGAAGTAGAGAGAGAAAGAGAGATAGCAGAGCCTTAGAAAGCTCACCAGAGGTAAGCAACCTCACAGATGCCGGAGGAATCACAGGATGAGAATAAAGTCAGAGGTATGTTTGAGTGAGTGTGGCAAGCATACTTATTTGTAATGACCACACATATACACTGACTTCTTCAAGTTTGAGTGATGTATGTGAATAATGCATTGATGCTGAATGGGGGCAGGGAGGACGAGCAGACAGCAAGGTAAAAAAAAAGAAAAAGAAAACTACTTCAATGACTCAATACTGGGAGCAAGTAGATGGTCTAAATGTGAGACAGGATTCAAATATTTATATAGCAGGCACTTTACAGGCAGGGTGAACACGAGGAGCATCGCAAAAACAGTTTCCCAGTGGAGATGCATTACTGCACTCAAATGGATTAAATGACTGGGAACAAAGGAAACATCTGAAGCTTGGAATTATTGAAGAGATAAAAAAGAAGACACTTATGAACTACTGCAACTGGTTATTATCTTATTATAAACTCGTATTTCTTAAATATAACTCTTGTGGTGTATTTCAGTGGTGGTTCAAGAGCTTTGCTGTAAATAAAAGAAGCACGTCGCTGCAGGAGAAGGTGCTCACACCGTCATGTAAACAAGTTATCGACACAGGTGTGCATCGACAAAGACCAGCATCGGATAATTTGCTAACAAGGGGAGAGAGTGCACCACTTACAGCAGGTTTGAACTGTTCCAGTACACCGCATGCCGATTGCTGGCTCTCGAAAGGTGCAAGTTTGTAAGCGCCAGCGTGATGAGGCTGAGGGAAAACGTTGCGAGAGCCATAATCCCTCCGCTGCTCAGCCAGTTCTGGTGCCCCCTCTTCCTTCTGCGTCCCCGCTCCTTCTGTCCCAGGCGACGCGTCACTCACAACATCCCAGCGGTCAAGAAGAAGAAGAAGAAGACGAAAAGAGAAAGAAAATACGCCTTTTCAAGTTCCAGTTACCTTAACAACGGGTTGAATCGGGGTGACTTGTAAGTGATTACGTGTTCTTCAACTCAAATCCCATTGCGACGAAACCTATTTGGGCATCTTTACTTGTGCCAAATCTATCCGGACTTCTGACGCGTGCCCGCTGGGCACTTTTCAAGTCACACCTTTTGTTTTGTTTTCCCAGTTCTTTCACTAGAAAGGAGAAGTGCAGGTAGATAAACGGCAAGACAGTCTACCACATTCAAAACTAACAGCTGTAAGTCGGTGCTTATTGTTCTCGACGCGCTTTAAAGTCGCATCCAAGGCGCTGGACCTCTGCTGTTGAGATTTGTGTAGCTGTAGGTGACCTGCCGCTTCTCTCATCAGCAGCAGTAGCAGCAGCAGCCACACGCTGCGAACACAACGCTACAAACCCGCCCTCTGACGGCTGAGATGTGCCCACATGTCCATCTATTCTCCCGCCCCCTCAAAACATGCACCGTCTCACAAGAAAATGAAAATATATGCGTAAAAATAAAAGGATCAGTCATATTGTAGTAAGGAATTTGATTATTTAAAGGTAAGGTGAAGGTGATTAAAGGTTTAAAGTACATTGATTTTACAAACAATAAAACCGCTCCAAAAGAGCCCATCTAGCACCACCTATTAATTAGTAAATAGGTCAGAGTCAATCAGTCAGTGCTGCACCCAGTGGATAGTTTGCTCCAGCTTTTCTGCTTTATTGTGTGTACCTAACTATAAAAAATTACTACTGATAGGCAAAACATGAAAAATCAACTAATTTGATGTCACATTTTCCCATTTGTTAACGGGTTAAAAATAATCACCTTTACTTTACTTTGGTCTTTTTGCCCCCCCCAACAGCCTCTCATCGGGTATTGTTTTAGTAAACCTTGACACAGACCATATGGTAGAGTGCGCTCCTTTAAGCACTTAAGTGGTATGTTATATAGAGAGTGGTAATGTGACAACTCTGATATCTAAAATAAAACGGTTTCCATGACTCCTTTCATAATTACAGACCTTAAAAATGCAGTACAGGTCACATCTTGAAAGTTTAAGTATTTTTTTCTGTTTCCATAAGAACAGATTAGGTTCAGGGTTTACTGAGAGATTAAACTGGAGAACACACTGTAAGAATAACATCCCCTCTGGCTGCTACATGACTCATTATTGCATGTTTAACAGTTAATTATCATCAGGCTGTTCACATTTCAACAGCTATAGTGTTTGATATACAAATGGTTGAAAGTTTAATGCAAAGCCACCACACTGTAATAGTGGTACACAGAGCTATCTAGTGCTGGGCTCAGTCATCTTGATGTAAAGCGCCATCGTGTTCAGGACTTCTTTATCAATATTTTTCATTCTGTGTGTGTGTAGATGCACAACGAGTACACAAATTGCACAATCCTAAACAGTGCTTTGAAAAGAATTTTCTTTAAGACTCAGGAATTAAAAGTTTTAGAAAAATTTCAGGTATGTAAGCCAGTGGGCATAAAAGCGATGTCTCATGCAGAAATAATTTTGCTTCTAGTGAACTACATCTGCAAACTTCAGCTGAGGTGGAGGAGGGATACAATACTCACACGGTCACAAAATATTCGACCTTAGAGTGTATATAGAAGATGGTTGTAGCCTCTTGGTCTGAAAAATGAGGCAAATGCGGAAGTGATTTACACCTGTTCAAATCCGCATTTACACAAATATCTAATCAGCCAATCACATGGTAGCAACTCAGTGCATGTAGCCATGTAAACATGTGCACGGTCGATCGTCTGAAGTTGAAACCGAGCATCACAATGGACAAGAACAGTTACTTATGTGACTCTGAATGTGGCATTGTTGTCAGTGCCAGAAGGGATGACCTGAGTATTTTAGAAACTGCTGAGATGTTTCTAGTGGGATTTTTCCACACAACTGTCTCTAGGGTTTATAGAGAAAGTTCTGAAAAAGAGAAAATATAGTAAGCAGGAGTTCTCTGGGAGAAAATATCTTGTTGATGTCATAGGTCAGAGAAAAATGGAAAGACTGCTTTTCAGCTGATAAGAAGGCAACGGGAACTCAAATAACCACTTGTTATAACAGAGTTAGAATCAGAATCAGAATAATTTATTAGTCCCAGAGGAAATGATGTAAGTCCTGGAAAAATAGGAGCTGAAACAGGCTGCATGCAGGCTCGTGTATCCGCACTACAACTAATACAGAAGAGCATCTCTGACTGCAAAACATGTCAAAGCTTGAGCCACATGTGTTACTGCAACAGAAAACCACACAGAAGATCCACGCCTGACAGCTAAGAAAAGAAAACCGAGTCAACAGTTCAGTTCAGGCTCCAAAGGAAAAACATTGTCTAATCTAATGAGACTTGATTTCTCTTGCAAAAGTCAAATGGTAGGATCAGAATTCGGTGAACCATCCTACCTTGTATCAACAGTTCAGGCGGCTGGTGGTGTAATGGTGTGTAATGGTGTGGGGGTATTTTCTTGCCACACTTTGGTCCTCTTATTACCAAGCAAAGATTCTTTAAATGCCACAATCTTCCTGACTATTGTTGCTGACCATGCCCATCCCTTTATGACAACACTGTATCTATCTTCTGAAGGTTGCATCAAAAACTGCTTTCTTGAACATGACAGGGAGTTCACTGTACTCAGATGGTCACCCGATCTGAGGAATGTTTCCAGCACCTTGTTGAATCTATAGCATGAAGAATTAAGGCTGCTTTGAAGGCAAAAGGGGTTCAGTTAAGTATTAACAGGTGACACTAATGAAGGAAAGCGACCCTAATTTCCTTTGATCTGTGCCCCTGAGTTAAGTCTAAGGTCTGATTTGCTAAATTAAAGTCATATCAAATATAGCATAATGTTGGGCCAGCCTTATGATTGTTAAGTTGCTACTGTGAGATTACAGCGTCCTTCAGTCTCTACGTCAGATTCAAGCCTTGCTCTTGAAGTCCAGAGATTGTGTGCTTTCAATAGGTATATAATACACACTTCTTTTACCCAATGGTACAGCTCCTGTATCAAACTGATTTATCTTTTTTGAAATGCCAGATCATGATTTGTGGAAAAAGACAGGCGGCTGAGGCTGCTGAGGTTTTCCATTTTTCCATTTTCCTTTTTTTTTAGCCATCTTCTTCTATTATATTCAGTAAACGACAGACATTTCTACAACCAACATTTCAAAAACTGGACAACTCACACCAAAATAATCTAGAGGGACAAACAACACAACACGCCAGTGGAAAAAAAACAAACATGTATTTTTGATTTGGGGGGTAAACTATCCCTTTAAGGTTACGGCTAGAAATAAGATTCACATTAATATTAGAAAATTAATACAGTGAGTGCAAGGCCATTACAAGTACAGTAATAACACATGTGTCTGAGTAATTATATGTGTGTGTGAGTGTATCTGTGTGCTTATGTGTGTGTGTTAAACAGTGAAATATAGACCGAGGGGGGAGCGTATGAAAATTTGGAGACTTTAATTAACCTGTTTAATTTCGCCGGTGGTGGTTTAACCACTCTATCTAGCCTAATGGTTGCCCGCAGTATTAATGGCTCAGTTAATTCCAAATATTAAGCATTAGCCTCGGTTTGATTAACTCTGCCAATTTCATATCTCATAATGGTGTCCCTTTTTGGAGGGGATATCAGTGATAGTCACACCCATAAACATGGTTGTAGACTCTGTCGGTGCAACTTTTTGCTGAGCGATCCAAACATTAATCTGAATTACCGCCGATGATAAATGAATGCTCATTACACTTCTTAGCCGAGTCCCTGAAGGTCAGAATTTTCTGCGAGCGAGGAGACGCAGCCTGAGTCGGTTGTAGATCTGCTGCCTACTTTCCACTCTTTCATCTCTCATTCATACACACCGTCTGTCTAGTTTGCTCTCGTTTGCTCTCACTCACTCCCTGCTTCTCTGTTGTTTTTGTCAGTGATGACGCCTCTCTTGAGTGCCCTCCGGGCATGTTGCCGTGGCGACTGGAGTAAAGGGGTGGATGAAAGAGCAAGTACCATCACTTTATTTTCTCCCCCAACTCTCACCCCCCCCCACTCCCTCTCTCTGTCCCGCCACCTATCTGTGCAGCTCTCCTGGATCACTCGCCTCCATCCACTCCAACATTTGTCATCCTTTTGTCACCTCTCACTCAGGAGGAAAGAAGTGGTGTATCCACGAGGAGCATATTCTTCCCCCTCTACTTGAACCAATGATCTCTTGCTTCCTGCTGCGGGTCCTGACCGCACAGTACCAGAGAAAGTGAGGGGAAAATGCACAGAAAGACATTTCATATGTTTCGGCTCGTCTCAACCACCAGAGGCTCCGATTTTGCAGATTTATAATGTGCTTTGAGTGTATTCTGATCATGTGACCGAGTGAAGCTTCTCGGTATCATAACTTATTGAACACGTTTGTTCTTTTGCACTGTTTATACGTGTTTATTGCCTCACGCAGCCTCTGCAGCTGCACAGCTTGTATTTTGCTGTAGGCACTGATACATACTATAGTAGCACGGCTCGTTACCTTAACTGTGACTGTGTTTGTGATTAATTCATGAACAGCAGCTATAGGCATATTGATTATTCTGATAATTTTTCCTCATCAATCAACCTCAATGCTTTCATGCATCCTCGTTCGCTCATTATTGATTTCATTCTTCAGCCTACTTTACTCCCATTGTAAGCAACATTACAGTTAAAACGATGTGCTGGTTTGTTCCTCAGCGGGACCTCTTTATTCTTCCTCCTGGCTTCTATCTGTGCTATCTCTAATTTTCTACACCCATCTGTTCTTCTTTTCCCTACGTCTCATTCTGGATTTATCTCAGCTTTAATGTTAATGGATTAAAATGAGGTTGCCTTGATTGAGTTTAATGTCCAGTGGCGGTGTCAGTAAACAACAATTTATTTGATTAATCAGTTAATCTAGTGAAATGTCAAACTTTGAATATAAACTAAGTGTGACAGGAAAAAAAAAATAACAGCAGAGGCAAGAGCCTTTTGAACCTGGTAACGTAGACAAATAAAAAGCGCTGTGTAAAAAGTAAAAGTGTGTATCCCTGTGCCACAGTGTGTCACCTTGTCAACCCCCCTCATCCTACTGCTTTTTTGTTTTATTTGTCATGAACATATATTTTGTAGGTTTAAAACTGTTAGAAAGTTACAAAGTGTGAGAGAAGGAAATGAAAACAAACTGGTGAAAATCTGGAGGCAACATGTTGAGACTGAGAAAAGGAAGGTGGGGAAGGGAGGTATGGAGGCAATAGCCAAATGGAAGCAAGGCCAGCAGTGTTTTTGTTAATGGCATGAAGCTGAGGACAGGCCTTGCCCAAACTCCAGGTGG